GTCAAAACTAAACCAAATAAGTATGACTAACTAGTTCACAAAAGCTATACAAATAGCATGCTATTTGCTTATTTCTTTTGGTGTTGGAGTCTAAGATGTCCCAAAGCTTTGTGTAAATAAAAATATACAGTATTTTCAATTCAGAAGCCAATCAGGTTGGTGCAACACGCACGCGTGACGTCGCTTACAGGTATCCAATTAAACCAGACTTAAATCACATGGGTATGCATAATCACTTCACTTCTTCTCGAGTAGCAATTACCCAATAAAATATTTATTTTCCCGAAACGAGCACTTGCTTCGAACTGCAATTTAATAAGAAGTATTTTCAAATCTTCATTTTCTATAACAAAAATCATCAAACATTGTAGTAATAGAAAATATATAAAAAGAATATTGACGTATCAAAGTATATAAAGAGTATTTTAAGCGTTCAATTACTATCACCGTCATAAGTCCTCAAAAGTAATCACCCAAAGTCCACAAAACTAAAATAATCATTACCTCCTAATCGAATTTGAACTTGAGATAAAAAGATAGGAAAGAAGAACAGTTGTGATGTGAGCGCCACTCGTGGCGTGACTGAAAACTATTTTCTTTTCTTCCGCCATTAGCGATAGAGAAATGAAATAGTGCTCCACATGACTAATTCACTATTGATGCTCTATCCTCTCTCCTGGGTATCGTTTTGATCCAGTTTGATTGTTTACATAAATTTGTCATTCCGATTAGAATTGGAAAAAAAAGCAAACAAACGTAGCTTTATTTAAATATGAGTACTTTTAATTAATTAAACATTTTTGTTTTGGATATTTGTCGTTAAAGGAACTTCATGCCTCTGTTGATTTCGTTTTATTTAATTAGAGTATAGTTTTTATTTATTTATTATGTATTTATAAGAGCATTGTTTGATTTCCCGGTTGAATGCAAGATTGTTTTGATATCTATTGTTAATTACTAATAAAGATCTATTTGAGTTTGTGGTAATAAAGTATTACTAATTAAAAGTGTTTGAAGAACTACATCTCGCTCCATTCCCAGAACTTTTTTTTTCTAATTGAAAAAATTCAGTGAGTCAACAAGAGAAAACTAATGAAGCCTTAAATTAATAATGGGATAGCTTCAATTTAGTTTATTTCAAAATACAAAGTCTAAGGAGTGTATTGTTTTTGTTGTTCAGCCACAGAAATAAGCTAAAGTATCAGTTAAAAAATTATTTGAATACTCATCAGAAAATCTAAAACAAAAGTCAAAAAAATTTTTCAAAAAAATTTACCTAATATTTAGTTTAGCTTAAATTATGATATATGTTCCCAGAAAATCTAAACTTTATGTTAATATCATAAATGAAGAAAAACAAGCATTGGGAAATTTTAAAGAGGTGTGAAAAAATAATTGAACTTTAAACATATCTTATTTAGTTACAAAAATATACACTTATAAATTTGATAAATTTCTGATTAAAATACGCTTGATAAACTAAGGGAAAATTTAACAAAATATTTGTGCTTTAAAGATATATTTATTCGTATAAATGCACACTTGCGATAATTTTGATAAATTTCTGATAACAAGCGCAATTCTGATAAATGTTTTAGATATTTATCATAATATTCATGCTTCAAACATATCTTTATTTATATAAATATAGGTTATTGATAATTTGAATAAATTTCTGCACTGAGGAAAAAAGTATAGCCAAAACTACAAGAAAAAGGTAAAATTTACCGTGTTTCTGGCTCTATGGGAACATCAAAAAGCTTTGTAATTTTTACTGAAGCACTTTGATAATGATTTTGGTACATTTAACAATGAACGTTTCCTGATATGTTAAAAAATTGAGTAATTTTATCATGATTCCTTAATACGGAACATAAAAACGATTTATTCAGTTAAATTTACTCTTTCAGTTACGTATATTTTACTAAATGTGTGGTAATAAGAACTATAATTTTGAAAACCAGAATTTTCGGTTAACTGTCACCAAGTGTATGGACAAACTACCAAATGGTTAAAATACCGTATATTATTTTAATTTCGTTGACTATAATTAGGTTTTTCTTTCTTTTTTAATAGATAGATAATGACGGTAATTTTACCAGTGTTTTTTCTCCGTTTCTCTGAGTGAGAACAAGTAGACTTCTGATAAATTTTGTAGAGATTTAACATAATATTTATGCCTTATGAACTTTAAGTATTTTTGATAAATATCTGATAACAAGCATACTTCTGTTAATTCTGAAGGAATAAAACTTTAAACTTTTCCTTATGCACTTTTCCTTATGCAATTTACACACACACACACACACACAACACTTCACCTTGCTGTGTTTATCAATTGCTTATATGATAAATCTGTAATCAAAATCTTCGTTTCCTTATTATACTTCATCAACAAATGCTGTATCTTGCCTAAATAAAAAAGAAACGCCTCTTAAGGTAAGATGAATTTTATGAATAAACTTTCATCGCGAAACTCTTCTGGTCAAAATTTTTCCGAAATTAAAGAGAATAACGATCCCCCTTCATCTCATCCCCCCCATCTCCATCCTCATCGACAGCAACGAATGGAGTGCCAAAAACGGCAACTTCTCCAATCCATTGCCCCTCGTCAGATGATGGATTGCTCTTGCTGCTCCGTGGGCATCCTAACAGATGGTCTACACCTTCCTCTCAAGCATCCTCCGCCAGCACGCGTTAATTAGAAAAGAGTCCCCAAGATGGTGCTTGAAAGACCCGCTCTTCCACATCACTTTTTTTTTAATCCCAACTTTTCCTCTTGAGCATCTGGATCTTGTCGCTGTTTTGTGCATGGAAGGAGAACCAAGAAGAAAACTTAGAAGCTTGGTACTACGTCACGAAGATTCGGGATCATCCTGGATGAGGATGCTGCAGGATCTCTTTTTCTGGATGGGAAGAATGTGACATGACGCTAGTTTGGTTAAAAGTTTTAAGTTTAAAGTTTTGAGGAGAAACTTTTTATTTCTTGGTTACGTCGGTGATGCTGGGAGTTTTGTACACTAGCGCGAATATTACGGATGCTTAAAAATTCAGTTTCGGGAAAAATAAATAAATTTTGGTTTTAGCATTTTCTGAAGCAAAATACTTAGTTGACATTTCCTCATTTTTTATTTACCAAAAAGTATTTGTAAAGAAGCTATAGTTTAGTTTTAGTGAAGTATTTTTATATTTTACTTTTTTTATTTCTACAAAAAGTATTTTGAACAAGGCAAATTTTAAAAGTGTTTTCTGATAAGTAAAGATAATTACTTACCTACCTGATTAAACTTTTATCTTTTCAAGCTATCTTTTTTAAGTAGAATTTATCACAGAAATAAATATAAATAATGCATTAGAATATACATTTTCTTATCTATTATATCTTGATTGATATTTCCCAATTTTTTATTAATTAAAAAGTATTTCTAAAGTAGCCGTTAGTTTAGTTTTAGTGCTGTATTTTTATAGTTAACTTTTTTATTTCTCTGCAAAAAGTATCTTTATGATGCAAATTTTAAAAGTGTTTTCTGATAAGTAAAGATAATTACTTATATGACAGAGTCAGTTTTTATTTTATCAAGCTATCTTTTTTAGGCAGAATTTATCACAAAAATAACTTAAAATAATAAATTAGAATATATATTTTCTAATCTTAGTAAGGAAAAGAGTAAGATTATTAACTTTATACGTATGATGGAAAAGTAATATTAAAACTTCTCCAAAATTAAAAATATGCCAGTACAGATAAGTTATTATAAGTTATTTTTAACTAATTTTATTCTTTTAAATTTATCAATCGATTCTCATGACTCAAAAGAATCAGAAGTTCATTGACAATGACTTGATTCCTTTTCTTTAAGAATTTCTTAAATATGATGCAGTATTGTAATTAAAACTGCCTAGATATTCAGTGTTAAATCAAAAGCCTAAATTAAAATTAATTGCGGGTTTATTTTTACAAATAACAAAGTACTTAGTATAGTAATTTTTTTTTTTGAAAAATATTAACTATCACAAAATTTCCAAGATATTTTTTTATATATTTTCATATCATGTAATTTCATAGTTTTGTTAAATCAATCTATATTCAATATATTTTTAAATTTTTTTTTACTTAATTTTATGTTAGTCGTTTTACCTTACTTACACGACAAAAGAAAATTTCATAATTGAGGACTATGAAGACCAAATCCGTATATCCTTTACGAGATATATATGTATGATTTTTTCATAATTATTTTTAACTGTGGGAAAATTTTATTTATAATTAAATTATTTTAGAGTAAGTGTGCTCGATGTAACAAGCATGGCATTTTACGATAAATTTACCATTACGATAAATTTCCAAATCACTGTCAATATACTGATACTAAAGAAATAAAAATCGAATGCTTTTACACTACTACACTTCCCTGTTGTGACAAATTATTTTGAAGGTAGTATCTTTTAATGCTGTTTGAGTAAGCAATATTTTGCGGAAGAAGGTAAGCTTGAAATCATTTTTATTTATTTCTTGTATCAGTGAAGAGCAAACATTATTTCACTTTATTTATTTCTTGCAATCCTAACTTTTCATGCTTACTAAATATGTGTGGGGGACTTAAAAATTCAGTTTCTAGTTTTTCTAAATTATAGTTTTTATTATAACACATTTCGCAAAAATACAAAACTGAAAAGTAAACTTAATCAAATAAATGGGTTTTTTTTGCCATGCTCTAAACTGTCATGATAAAATTACCCAAATTTCATCACATATTATAAATTCATCTTTAATTTTTTACCAAAATTATTACCAAAGCTTTTCGGTAAAAATTTTACCGAGCTTTTTAGTGTTCCCATAGAGCAAAAAACATAGTAAATTTTACTATAAATCATACAACATATTTTTTTCTCAGTACACTAATTTGTGAAAGTATAACCACAAACTATTAAAATAATTTAATTTCTTCATATTAGTTTTTAAAGTTTTTATGATTGTTATTTTCTGTTTTTTTTTTCAGTCTGATATTTGTCACCAAAGTGTATACGAGCTTGTCCATTCCGAAGACAGAGAAGAACTGCAGAGGCATCTCATGTGGAATTCCCAGTTGTCACCAGAAAGAAGCAATCTTTCTCTGCAGGAAGCTCTACAGTCGGGTAAGACACACCTACTGTACTACTGCGTGTTGTGATAAAATTGCTTGCAATACCCTACAATCAAACTTCTTAATCAACATTGCGAAGAATTTCGGTTATACATTTAATTAATCCTACACGACTTTTGCGACTACATGGCTAAACTCTCACATTTGACGATTCAACAATCCTTGAGTTGTATTTCGTTAATATTGAGAATCATTTCGCCACGAAATCACGTGATTTTTGATGAAATGCGTTCTCCCAAATATATGACGAAAAAGTTTCCTCAATTATGGAACCTCTTCAAAGTGCATTTTAGGAGACTGTTGACTAGAATGACGAAACTGAAATGAAGGCTAAGCGATCGAGAGAGAAAATGACAAAAAAGACGTCGGCATGTATAATGGCGATCAAAGAGTTGCGAGGAATATCCTGGGTTCGAATCACGTTTTGGGCATGACTGTAATTTATCTCACTGTTCTATCAGTTTTATTTTGTTGGTGCAGCATTATTCCATCCATCTATATGGCACGCCCGATAAAGTGATTATTAAAAAAGTGAGATATATTAAGCACTACAAAGTTTTTTTTTTTTTTTTTTACAAAATGGAATGACGAAATATTTTCTTAATTTTAACAAAGTTCATTTCCTTGAAGAAGTGATGAAAAAAAGCAAGAAATATCTGAAACGTTGAAATGTTCAAAATACAAAATACTATATACTCATTTTATGGCTAATATGTACTTTTATAAATTTTTCATTCAATACAAAAGTTACAGAAAACTCATTCATCTCTTTTAATTTAGTTTACAGTGTTATCTATGATATTCTATATATTTTATATCATATACAATGAATATTGCTTAAAACTACAGCATGTTAACTAATATTTCGGGTAATAAAGAAATTATTGGAAGCATTGGTGGACGTAAACCTAATCATATGTTGAGCCAAGGTGGACAACAGGCATCTTTCCCAATCAAAGGGTGTGAGAACGGGACATTTGTTCGTGAATACCCCTGAGAAAAGAAGAAAAAATAAAAACCAAAGCTGGACTTCCTTTACTTGTACAAGAAATGATAGAAAACTATGTGTGTACCTTTACCTAAAGCATATATATATTGGTCTTGTAGGTGTTTTCTTCGGAATAACAGGAGAAAAGGGACTGTATATTCCATTCAAGGAATTCCTTGGCGATATTCTTTTAATATTTTGGTTTCTTTTCATTGCTATAGTGATTAATCATAATTTAAAAGCAAAACACAATATTATTATTTCAACTAGCATTAAAAATCATCTTCTGTTAATATTGACAGTTTTTCTTTCTTTTTTTAATTTTTGAAGTGATTAATAATAGCTGAAGTGATTTACATGGTACCGAGACTGGGGTTGCTTTCTGTGGTCAACTTAAAGGGATGAATTACTTTTCTTTTAATTGTTTCTTATATTATTGTTAATTTTATATGAATTATAATATTCATGTATTTTTTATACGTTACCAATCAAAGTATAAATCTTTTTAACTTGATTTTGAACTTTTAATTGGCAAAAGCTTCACATATCTTATGAAATGATGTTGATTACAGAATGAATTATAATTCGTTGCATAAATTTAATGTAATGTAAAACTGATTAATTTAAGAAAACAAATATGTATATTTTGTTTGTCACTAAAAATTACTTCTACTTTGTTTAGTATATTTATTAAAAGTTACTTCTTAAATATCAATACAGAAGGATATAAATGAAGTTAGAAAACTTAACATTTTATTCATATCAACATGCTTACAATAAATTGTCTGCATCGGAATATAAACATAGTAAATGAAATAAATCGTCGGCATATAACAATAACGTCGTCAGCATTCAAATATGATTTTAATGCAGACGATTTTCATATTTGGAATTTAAATAATTTTTTAATATTTCCGTTTGAACCAAGAACATAGCATTAAAAGTTCAAAAGATGTAAGACGGTTTTAAGAGTTTGAATCAAAATAATTTCTTTGTATTTTCCTTAAAACAAAGAACATAGTAATAAGTTCAAAATATGTCCTAAGAAGTTTTTTCAAGAATCCAATTTGCTTGTATTTTCCATAAAACGAGGAATTAAAAGTTCGAAATATGTCGTAAGAAGGTTTCAAGATTTTGAATCCAATTCGCTTGTATTTTCAGTAAAACGAGGAATTAAAAGTTCGAAATATGTCGTAAGAAGGTTTCAAGATTTTGAGTCCAATTCGCTTATTTTTTCCATAAAACGAAGAATTAAAAGTTCAAAATATATCGTAAGAAGGTTTCAAGATTTTGAATCCAATTTGCTTAACGAAGAATTATAAGTTCAAAATATATCGTAAGAAGGTTTCAAGATTTTTAATCCAATTCGCTTATATTTTCCATAAAACGAAGAATTAAAAGTTCAAAATATATCGTAAGAAGGTTTCAAGATTTTGAATCCAATTTGCTTGTATTTTCCGTAAAACGAAAAAATTAAAAATTCAAAACATGTCGTAGCCTACCACAATAAGAATTATCTCCAGCGTTTATGGGCGCAATATGATCTATTAGAATAGAGCATTTTGGCTTTGTTTCAAGGTAAGATGCGGATAAATATCGAGAAAACCCCTTAAAAATACCTGTTCTTTTCGAGCGAGATACAGATCACAATCAACCATCGTATATCTCCCAGTATTGATCCCAGGCAGGGCTATATCAGCAATAAAGGCGCTGGGAACAGTTGCCCTCTCCTCTGTTTGTGTTCTTGTTGCCGATATATCGACTCTTTCCTCCGCAAAAGAGATTACAGGAGCCGCTTACCCTATGCCGATGGATACAGACGAGAAATGTGAAATGAAATGAAATGAAGTTTTGCAGGTAAAAGAGAAGTGAAAAAAAAAGTCTGAAAAAATAAAGGGGAAATCAATTGAAGTGCCTCTTATATCTGCAATTTTTATTGAAGTAATAAAACTGAAGTTGCTAAAGAGAATGTATCAGTAAAGTATAAATTATGGTAAACATTTTTAAAAACTAAACAAAGCAGTGTGTTTGTGTGCTTATAATAAGTTGCTATTCATGACTAGCATCATGAACGATAAACAAAATAAAGCACAAGATGCACAATTTTAAACAAAAACATCAATATTACAGTCTGTATTGGCGATCTTCATTAAATATTTTTTCTCTCAATTTTGGAGTGATTAACCATTATTTAAAAGAAGAAGAACATAAAATTCAGAGTTTGGAACTTGAAATAAGTAACAAGTAGAGCATAGTGTGTGCTTATATTATAAACAGTAGGAAAGTATATGGCATAGACATGACCATGATGTAGATCTTTTCAAGAAAAACATCAAAGCTCGCGCTGCAAAATTGCAGGTAAAAGAGAAGTAAATAAAAGTTTGAAAAAATAAAGTGGAAATCAATTGAAGTGTCTCTTAGAAAACTTAATAAAACTGAAGTTGCTATAGAGAATGTATCAGTAAAGTATATATTATGCAGTGTGTTTGTGTGCTTATAATAAGTTACTATTCATGACTAGCATTATGAACGATAAGCAAAATAAAACACAAGATGCATAATTTTGAAGAAAAACAACATCAATTTTACTGTCTGTATTGATGATCTTCTTTAAATATTTTTTTGTTTCAATTTTGGAGTGATTAATCATTATTTAAAAGAAAAAAAGGAAAATTCAAAATTTGGAACTTAAAATAAGTAACACATAGAGTACAGTGTGTGCTCATATTATAAACAGTACGAAAGTATATGGCGTAGACATGACCATTATTTATACTTTTTCAAGAAAACATCAAAGCTCCCATTACAAAATTGAAAAAGAAATTTCAAAAAAAGGAAATGAAGAAAAAAAAACACGATGATATTATAAGAGTCAGCATTTGCAATCATCGTTTATTCTTTACCTTTCTTCCTAAAATGACTAATAATTTAAACGAAAAACAACATCCACAACTTTAAAGAAAATAAGCGTAACAGTGTTTATTTTATGTTGCCATTTTCGAATAATTAATACAAAATTATTTTAAATAAATGTAACCATGATTTTCGTTTCATAAGAAATATTAAAGCTCACATTGCAAAATTACAAAAAAGCACTATAGAAAAATTAAAAAATTTTTTGGAGAAAATTTAGTCCGAATTATTTTCAAAAAATTCTATTAACAAGATCACGCTTTAGCCCAAAACTTTATTAATTTTAAATTTTATCACTTCATCATTTAACGAATTTTTAAATCTTTACAATCTTTTATTTTTGTAATATTTGATAGATTTATTCTAATTTATCTTTACTCCATTATATTGAATTTAGTATGATACTAGAAATTTTTTATTGCAATCAAATCGTTTTCCAAAAGTGACAAAGAAAAAGCTGAAAATCGTTACATTTCTTGTGATTAACCTTGTCCTCATTTTAATAAGCAATATTTTTTAGCAAACCTTCATATAAAACCAGCGAGATTATTGAAAAAAATAAAGGTTTTCAAATTTTTTTAATGATTGACTAATCTAAAATATGATCTTAAGTGATATTAAGTGAATTTATATATATATTGGTATTATATATATAAATATAGTGGTATTTCTCTATATTAAGTTCTCAAATGTTTATTTTTCAGAAAACAGTCAACTTTTGGAAAGGAATTTTACTGTCCGATTCAGGTGCTTGCTTGACAACACGTCTGGTTTCTTGGTAAGAACAATTTTAGTTTTTAGCTTCGTAGTATTTTAAATGTATTATAAGAACCGTAATGTTTTTTTTTTTTTTTTTTATTAAAGAAAACACTTAATTTTTCTTTTTTAAGATATAATATTATATGCAGGTTAAAGTACAGAATATTAATGTAGCAAGTTATTTTTAAAAAAAAATGGTTTTTAATTAAAAAAAAATATTAATTACTTAGCTGTACATAATACATTCAGTAAAAATAGCTCCATTAAATTTTTCAATTCTTTATTTTAAAAATCTTCAGTTTACAAGTTTTAAAACTCTCACTATTTGTAAGATGTGGACAAACATTTAATAAAAATCTTTATTTCAAAAATCTTTTTAAAGGAAAAGTACTTTTTCAAATTTATGTTTATATTGCGTTTAATTTGAGAAAAAAAAACAGTAATATAATCATAGTTTTCATTAAAAACTTTCTTGAATTAGTCTAATCATACATTGTATGTTAAATAATTGAAAGTACCGTATCATTATTGGCTGCTTGACGTGCTGATAAATTACTCACGGCCAGCACAGAACTAAGTACTAACATTAAATATTCTCATGCAAATAAAATCCTCTATCCATCAGGTTAACTCTCAAAGACTTTCGTGGTTTACAGTTTTGTGTAACGCACACGTGGATACGCTTTACTTAAAAAATCGTCCATGCAGGTGAGTTTGTCTCAATGGCTTACAAGGTGTTTTAGAGTTTTCTAGATTGGACTCAAAATAAGAATGCCAAAAAGTTTTATTTCAAGAACTGCACTTCGATATGGGTCGACTGTTCAATGCCCATATTAAAATCAAAGAATTATAGTGATCGTAAATTTGAGTGCGTTTTACACAATTATATCACTATTTGTATGTTGCAATAATTAGTCTAGTTATTTGTTTCTTCAGTTATCAATCAGTTCTGTATATATAACGGATGTTATGTTATTTTTTTAAAGCTAATAACAATATTTAATAGAAATACCTTCAAAAATTATCTACAATAATTTTTTTAAATTTTTAAAAGATTTAAAGTTATTTATTAATTTTAGGAAGTAATGATAATTTGTATAATAATTATAAGACTAAAATAAATAAAATGTAATGTAAATTTGTAATGTAATTTGTAAATTTGTAATAATGTAAAAAAATAAAATGTAAATTTGTAAATGATGTAGATATGCATTGCACCCTTTGATTAATTATTTTCAAACCTTTTTACTGATTATACATTTTGAGAATACTTTTGAAATGTCATATGAATACGAACTGTTTTTAAACTGCTTTGCACTTATTGCAGAGGTTAGACATTCGAGGTCGCATCAAGGTGCTGCACGGCCAGAATCACAAGACGGAAGACCCTCCTCTTGCCCTCTTCGCTGTGTGCACGCCTTTCGGTCCTCCTTCCCTCTTGGAGATGCCCCACAAGGATACCATGTTCAAGAGCAAACACAAACTTGACCTTTCTCTAGTCTCTTTCGACCAAAGGTATGAACCACATTGAACAACACAAAACAACCATTTTAAAACATATTTATCATGTTAATTTATAATTCCAAATGAAAGACAATTTAATATATTAATACCCATATTATCCTACGACTAATTATGCAGTTAACTTGGTTATCCTTTTTTCAAATACATACAAAGAAAATAAGAGTTTTCCTTTCAGATAAAATTATGGTTGAATAAAGACAGGGCATAAAATTACCAATATTAAAATTCAGTAAAATTTTTACCCTGGGTTCTTATGCTAAATATATACTTTGACATTTCAAACACAAACGTGTTTGGATTATGGCGGAGATCGATGCCATCTGCATAAAAAGCCGCGAACGAAAGGTAATTTCTGCCATTTATAGCTACTGGCCATATTATGAAAATCCTTGCCATCTGCACAAAAAGCCACGATCGAAAGGCAATTTCTGCCATTTATAGCTAGTGGCCATATTAAGAAAATCCTTGCCATCTGCATAAAAAGCCACGATCGAAAGGTAATTTCTGCCATTTATAGCTAGTGACCATATTATGAAAATCCTTGCCATCTGCACAAAAAGCCACGAACGAAAGGCAATTTCTGCCATTTATAGCTAGCTGCCATATTAAGAAAATCCTTGCCATCTGCATAAAAAGCCGCGAACGAAAGGTAATTTCTGCCATTTATTGCTAGTAGCCATATTATGAAAATCCTTGCCATCTGCACAAAAAGCCACGATCGAAAGACAATTTCTGCCATTTATAGCTAGTGGCCATATTAAGAAAATCCTTCCCATCTGCATAAAAAGCCACAATCGAAAGGCGTCTGCCAGACTATTACTGGATTATTCTGGCCTCACCAAGGAGGACATTTATGCAAATCTCTTCCAAGTCATTGACTTTCTTCGAGTCAATAGTCTTTTGGACCTGGTCTGACTTCCTCAGACTTTGGAGTATTAGTAACAACAACTGATACCCTATCTAATTGGAAAAAAAATGAACCGTATGACAGAATTTAATAAATTCAACTGTTTTGTGATTTTAAACGTCCGCAACTTTAATAGCGTGCTATAATAGGTTATAGGTTGGAAAATATTACCATCCTTCCTAAACTTTATTACTCGATAGTAGAGTTCACCTGGTGTGGAAATATAATTCAATTTATCCTTTATCATGGTTACCGCAAGTTTGCTCCGTGTTATAGAATAAGGTACCTATTTTATGGCTCAAAGTTGAACCGATTTTTCTGAAAGTATATCTGATGAGGCTGTATAAGATTTAACTCAAGCACTTTTAACCTGCATCATGATTTTCCAAAATCGGTAAGGTTTAATAGTGTGCAATCACGATGTGGAATTTGTAAATTTGCTTCGAAAATTTCTGTTTTATAAATCATCTACATGAATCATACATATGGGTATCGTATATACTAACCACAGCTCAAAAATTAGGCGAACATGAACCATAAGACAATTTGCCTTAAATATATCTGACAATCTGTTCGCTGTTCCAGATAACATCTCGAACTCAGTCCCGTAGTGACAAATAAAAATGTGTCTGATAAGCACTATTCCCGTGGTGTCGGGTAAACAAGATTTTGCATATTTAAATATTAAATAATGATCAGAAAAAGATAATGCTGATTGTATAAATTGTGCACATTTTGAGATTTTTAATTTTAAAATTATCTTCATCTAATTTTTTTAAACGATTTCCACATTGTAGAAAAACTTTTGTAACTAAGTTTTTTCTAACTTAAGTAAATCCCATGAAAAAACAACTTAATCAATTTTTAAAATTTTTTTCTCTATTTTTGTGCAATTTTAACGCTTCAGGACTGTTGAAAAGAGAATGAAAGGCTACCACAGTCCCGCACGCTCCGAGTTCATACGTACTAAAGAGTACTCATCCGTACTAATACGAGAGTTGCGAATTGAGATCACGTCCGCGTAATCTAGGGACACTAGAACCAGAAATGCTCGTTTCATCTATATCACGCAATCACGTACATCACGGTCCTGAAGGGATTAGACAATATATATCTATTATTTTTTTCTATACTTTCTGGAAGTTATTCCAAAAATTTCATTAATATTAATACTAAAAAATAAAAAGGAAAAATAATATACGGTATACGGTAAATGCATACGGTATATATGTGGTATAAAAGTAGCAGTATTGAATAACAACTAGTGGGCTGCGGCCCCTGCTCAACAACTCCCAAAAATTGCTACGCAGTCTTATATGGTTTGCTTCGCAAACCAAGCTCGCTTCGCTCGCTACTAACTTAGGTACATTCAAATGCACAAATTCTAAGAATTCAAAACAATCATTCAAATCCATATAACAACTCTTTTTTTTAAAAAAATTACATCTTTTNAACGAAAGGCAATTTCTGCCATTTATAGCTAGTGACCATTATAAGAAAATCCTTGCCATCTGCATAAAAAGCCGCAAACGAAAGGCAATTTCTGCCATTTATAGCTAGTGACCATTATAAGAAAATCCTTGCCATCTGCATAAAAAGCCACGATCGAAAGGCAATTTCTGCCAGACTATTACTGGATTATTCGTTCCTCACCAAGGAGGACATTTATTCCAATCTCTTCCAAGTCATTGACTTTCTTCGAGTCAATGGTCTTTTGGACCTGGTCTGACTTTGGACGATTAGTAACAACAACTGATATTTTATCCTACGAAAAAGATGAACCGTGTGACAGAATTTAATAAATTTAACTGTTTTGTGATTTTAAACTTCCGCAACATTAATAGCGCGCTAGATTGAATCCTATTACAGTCCTTCTTAAACTTTATTACTCGATCGATAGTAGGGCTCAACTGGTGTGGAAATATTGACACTTTATTATGTTTGCCGCAAGTTTGCAAGTATTATAGAATAAGATACCGATATTATGGTTCAGCGTTGAACTGATTTTTCTGAGAGCATATCTGATGAGGCTGCATCAAATTTGATTCAAACACTTTTAACCTACATCATGATTTCCCAAAATCGCTAAGGTAGTGATTTGTAAATCGACAAATTTACAAATCACGAAGTGGAATTTGTAAATTTGCTTCAAAAATGTCTGTTTCATAAATCATCTACATGTATCGTACATATCGGTATCGTATATACTAACCACAGCTCAAAAATTAAGCGTACATGAACCATAAGACAATTTGCCTTAAATATATCTGACAATCTGTTCGCTGTTCCAGATAAAATCTTGAACCTCAGTCCCGTAGTGACAAATAAAAATGCGTCTGATAAACACTATTCCCGTGGTGTCGGATGATTAAGATTCTGCTTATTTAAATCTTAAATAATGATCAGAAAAAGATAATGCTGATTGTATAAATTACGTACATTTTGAGATTTCTAGTTTTAAAATTATCTCCATCTAATTTTTTTAAAGGATTTCCACATTGTAGAAAAACCTTTGTAAGTTTTTCTAACTTAAGTAAATCCCATGAAAAAGCAACTTAATCAATTTTTAATTTTTCTTCTTCTATTTTTGTGCAATTTTAACGCTTTAGGACTGTTGAAAAGAGAAAGAAATGCCACCACACTTCCGCACGCTCCGAGTTTATACGTACTAACGAGTACTCATCCGTACTAATACGAGAGCTGCGAATTGAGATCACGTCTGCGTAATATTGGGACACTAGAACCAGAAATGCACGTTTCATCTATAATTGAGTGGGCCATATGGAGAATCACGCGATCACGTATATCATGGTCCTGAAGGGATTAAACAATATACCTCCATCATTTTTTTCCATACTTTCTGGAAATTATTCCAAAAATTCCATTAATATTAATACTAAAAAATAAAAAGGAAAAATAATATACGGTATACGGTAAATATATACGGTATATATGTGGTATAAAATATATAATAATATACGGTAAATATATACGGTTACGAAACAAGAAACTGATGCTTCATATCCAACGATGGTACTCCATCTATGGACATGGAGAATCTCTTCGGAAACATGAACTGATACTCCATATCCTACGATATACGCTTAATGTGGTCTCCTTTCGGTGTGGTATTAAATAACAATTTTATATTTATAATAATTTTAATTCATTATATTGATTTCTTTTCCAGGGCGAAGCAAGTGTTAGGTTACTCTGACACAGAACTCGCCGATAAGGGCTGTTATGACCTAGTCCATTATGATGATCTCGCTTATGTAGCTAGTGCGCACCAAGAATGTAAGCATTATTTTTATTACTCAATTAGAGTGAATAATACAGAATCTGTTTCTAAAATGGATCTGTTTAACCCCACCATATCACTTCAACCTATGAGGTAGACTTAGGTAGTTATTTAGTAGACTTAATGAACCACAATTGATGAGCGGATTTAATTTATTAAGTGATCAATAACTCCAACAGATCCCTTTTAGAGACACCGATTGTAAGTAACTATTTGAACGAAATAAAATAAAAACTCAAAATATAAAATTAAAATTTCGATGAATTACTTTAGATATTATTCTGTAGACATACTTTATTTCATGGATAACATGAATTTTAATTTAATTTTGATATAATTTTTAATAACTTTTTTCAACCTTTAAACAACATTTTTATTGAAGTATTAATAAATGAAATAAAATTCTACTAAATGCATTAGAGTACTTGCTTCGTTTTTGCTTGAAAAGTTTGTCAAATATAAATGTTGCACTTTCTCACTCACTGATATGTTTAAATTTGAACTTAATGAAATTCATTGCTTTTAAAAACAAACTTACATTAAAAAAAATTGCATCAAGTATTATTGTTTTTGCCTCAAAATTCGAGATAGTTGAAGTTGAATGATATTGATAGAATCAGCTTTAGAATACAAAATAATTATTTTTTTAACTGAAAATCACTTTATTGACTTGAAAAAATTAACCTTTCTTCAATACCTGTATCAATTTTATGTTCCAAGTGTTTTTAATATGTCCTCAATTCAATTGTTTTGAAAATGTCGTTAATCCAAGTGTTTTTTAAAATGTCGCTAAACATGTTTTTCTAATAATATACTTGGTATAAGATATTACTAGTTGGTTAGTTATTGGTTGCAAGTTATTAAAGCAAGTAAGTTATTGGTTATAAGTTGTTAAAGAAAAATTATTTAATGGATTAATTATTCTTTAAATTATATTCTATAAATTATATCTTCTATAAATTATTAATGATAAGCAAGTTAGTGACTGTAAGTTACTACTGTGAAATTAGTTGATAGCTATTAATCAAAGTTATTAATTGTATCAGATTAGTTGATAGCTACAAATATATTAATGGCATTTTTTAATAGCTAGAAGTTATTAGTGTCATAGCTATAACTTCTTAATGGCAAATATAAGTTTTTTAGCTATAAGTTTTTAATGGCAAATTAATTGTTTGTTATAAGTTATAAGTAATTGCTCGCAAATTATTTTATTGCCATAAGTTATTTACAGCGAGTCAGTTATTGGCTATAAGTTGTACAAGACGAAATAATTACTTTTTTTAAAACATTGATGATAAATTTGTTGAAGACTATAAGTTGTTGTGAAATCAGTTAATTGTTATAAGTCATTAATATAAAATTAGTTAAGGACTATAAATTATTAATGATCAATTTTTGTAGCTACAAGTGATTAATGGTAAATTGTTTTATGGTCGTAAATTGTTAATGGCGAATGAGTTAATGACTATAAATTATTAATAACAAGTTAATTAATGACTATAATTTATTAATGGTAAATTAATCAATGGTTATAAATTATTAATGACAACTCAAAATTAATTGCAAGCTGTTTAATGACTGTTTGTTATTGCAAATTTTAAAAAAATTTGTCGGACTATAAGTTGCGCTCTTGGAACATAAAAATTGTTTAACTGTCATTAGAAAGATCCAACTTACAAATATCCAATTTCAAAGAACGATCTAACTTACAAAAAGTTGGTTTGGAAATATTAGGTTTTGCTTCAAATTTCCTACATTGAAAATAATCCTAATAAAACATTAACTTTTTTGCAGTACTTAAAACAGGAGCCTCTGGTTTGATAGCATATAGGCTAGCAACAAAAACAGGATCCTGGCAATGGCTTCAAACGAGTGCAAGACTTGTATATAAAAATAGCAAACCAGACTTCATTCTTTGCACACACAGACCTCTCATGTAAGTTTAAATGCATTCAAGTTTTATTTTCCTATTATAAAATGTAGAATATACAGTGCGTAAAATAACAAACAGAACGTCTGAATAACTTTTGAACATTAGGTCGGATTTTCACGTACCCAAATGGGAGTGGATAATGAACAGGTTAACTAGCGTAATTAGCGTTCGAGGAGTTGATAATAAATAGACTAATTAGTGTAAATTCTAAAATATATCTGTCGGAAACAGTTTCTAAGTACAGAAAAAAAATTACAAATTTGCATATCTCTATTTTAATCTATCGGAATCTATTCGACTAATTTCGATCCATTTGTGGATTTTATCATTTAAAATTGCATTGGTTCCAACTTTAATAAAATAAGAACATTTTTATAAATTATAATTCAATTTTGTTATATTTATGAAATGAATAGAATTAAACAAATAATATTAATCGAATATTTCATGCTTATAACGTAGTACTTATCATTTAACGCTTTCAAAAATATTCCATAGTGTTTTTACTTAAATTGGCCTATAACGTGAAGCACTTTATGAATCTGGTACCTTATCATATGGATTCTGAAATTCTCAATGTAAGTTAAATACTGTAAAACTTTAGATTTTCCCAGAAAGATGTTTGTGAACCAAAACACTTGATTGTCAAAGTAAAATATCTGATTAGAAATGCTTGAAAAGCAAATGATTTGCTCAGAATTAGAAAGTATTTACTATTCAAATAGAGTCATAAATGCAAAATACGAAAAATATACATCGGCTTGTTGCATTATCTACCTCTCCTTATATATGCCCATCCATTTTAGGCCTATTTTTATTTATTTATTTGAACATGTCCTACTTTTTCATCAATGGTTTTAAGCAATCAAGTCATTTCTAATCTTATTATTGTAAAGCCTCGTCCGTTTTTCAAGTTTCTTGTAAAGTACTCACTTTTCTTGTAAAATATTCGCTAGCCAAGATCCCACTGAACGTAGAAAAGAAAAACTTTTTCAAATATTTTTGTTACTTTTTCACTTTTCAGAATTTTTAAGTAAATTAATTTACGCTGAAAATTTTCATGTAAACGCCAAATTAAAAATAATGCCATGCTATGTAAGGAATTTTTTTTGCCTGAAACTTGGGTTTATGATTTTGTTTGTTTTTAAATAGGGAAGAAGAAGGTCGAGATCTCCTTGGAAAAAGAACAATGGACTTCAAAGTCACCTACTTAGATGGTGGCTTAAATTCCTTGAACGATCGGAGTGGTCTTCTCTCTGACAGTGACTTTGTCCTCCGCTGCCAGAGGACAAAGAGATACAAGTCACAAATTAGAGACATCATTACCACGTGCAGAAAAAGAAAAAGCCCAGTGAATGGACCACCATCTACAAGCTCTATTGTAGGAGGCGCATTGCCTGATACATCGACTTATATGGACGATGCTGCTGCAGCTGCAGCTACTGCAGCCGTAGTAGCGGCAGGCTATAACAATGTTTATCCTTATGGCACAACAGACAATATGAATGGTTTAAGTGCTTCTTACGGAGCAACGGCTTCAATGCCACAAAACCTATTTTCAGCTGCCATAGACAATACGAGGTTTATTTCTGCTGAGAACTTTCTTCACTATAGACCTATAGGAACTTATTATCCGGACTATGCAGTCGCGCAGTATCCATCTAATGGTTTTCTGGATGTGGCTGCCTCTGCAACGGCAGCCAGAACGTGTTTCGGCCCGAGTGCTTTTCAAACAGATTCTGCTAGCCTTCAGCTAAGCAACACCAAAGAAGATAAACTATACCAATGTCAGATTGAAGCGGCAAAGTTTGGCGTCAATTCACCATCTCCTCCCCAGCAACACATAGTGAACAATAAATCCCCACCATCGTCCAACTGCTGCGACAGTGTACCTTCCTACATGAATGGGGTGGATCCCCTAAGGGGGTGTTTGGTGAATAATAATGGAGTGGGTGTCCAATCGTCTTCATCTATCTTACCGGTTACGTTAGATCACCATGATATAAAAGTTCGAGATCTCACATGTACAGGAAATTTGGCATTCCCTTTACATACCCTCACCACGAACAGCGAGTGTATCAACAATGGACTCAGTGGAACTAAATCCAAAAACACTTTTAATGGAGGTCCGAATAGCATCTTAATGACTATTCGAGATCTACCGCATTGGCCTAAAGAAGAAAAAATCTCATCACCTTACGACAGTAGGCATAATATGCTTGCGTGGAATAGCAGAGATGCACTCTCTGTGGACTGTCCAGCAACAAGCTCCTCCTCTTTCACCACTTATGACATGAAATCGTCCCGATACGGGGATGGTAAGCAGGATGGTGAAATAGGTAATGTGACCAGTTCACCTTGCAAGTGGAGTGGGAGTGCGGCTGCACCCAAATCTGCTTCACCTCATAACAGTACCAGTCCAGCCAGTGGTAAAGTGGCTCCCCAAGTCACTTACAGCAGCACGCCATATACTCAGGACATGCGGCTAGAGGTATGAACTCTTATATCTCACATTTAGCTATAATAAATTTCGAATTCATTTTAATTAATTGAAAGATCTCATCGCTATTTGCACTGGCAAGACAATGGGAAAAAATTCGCAGATGCCCTTACCAAAATAGTCGGTAGAACCTAATTGTAAGACATTCGACATTTGATGCCTAATGTAAATCATCTTTTCTATTTCTATGATGATACAAAAAATGTCCTTTTTATCTTTGCGATAATTCCTTGCCGTCATCTATCGGCTTTATATTCTTTTATCAAATATATATATGTATTTGATAAACAGAATCTTCACGTCCCTTGCACATCTTTCCAACGCAAATGATTAATACCCGTTTTCTTTTATCTAATTTTAGCCTGTTATATTTTAAAGATAATCAATTTTTACGTAATTGAGAATTTCAATTTTAACGCTTTTTTCTTAAATTCTAATTTATTCCACATTCCTAAAACATCTAAGAGAAGTAGTTATTGATGCCCCCTTAAACACACCAATTTCCAATTGAATAATATCGAAAAAACGGTTTGTTCTGCAGGAATACAGTCAAAGTGTTTTGCAGCGAATTCCAAAATAAACTCCCAGAGGATTAAATTGTATCTGATTTTTGAAATTTTTTAAAGATAGTATCTCCCTTGTTAGGCAAGAAGAGTGGCGGAGCCTTGTTGTTTCTATTCGAATTCTTTCCCTGGATGTCAAAATCTATTAAGGCATTTAAGAAAAAAAAACATATCACATTTAGGTGATTTTATCATTTTGATATCACAATTCGTTGAAGATTCTTATAATTGTATTCTTATAATCTTGTAATTCTTATAATTCTTGTATTTATGCAGTTAATACCAGCTTCTATAATTGTATTTATGCAGTTCTTATAATTGTATTTATGCAGTTAATACCAGCTGTTACGACGTCTGTTTTTGTTAAAAATTTGTCTGATTTTTTTTTCTGTCAATTGATTTCAGTAACAGCTACTGACTCTCAACTTAACTACTTTACTATACTATAGCAATTTTTTACATAATTTCATTCTAAAAATTAAACTATTAAAAAACTTTTACGTTTTCTGAGCTTAATTAATTTATTTATTTTTCAGCTTCCACTGGTGAGGTCCGATATCATACGACCATCTTCCGTCAAACAAGAAGGAAACCCACTCTTATCCATATCTGAAGTAACGAACACTTTATTGGACCATCACTAGATGGCGCTCTCTACACCAGTGAAACAGCACCAAAAAAGTGACCTTCATCTACAGTCATTTGGAACTCTTCATCATTTGTAAATTACATTGAAGAATATTATTATAGCAAATGAAAAGTAGTGCAACGGATTGAAAATACTACTACTTTCTCGGTGAAGAAAATACTGAAAAATCAGAAGACCGTATTTCTAAAATAAAAAAAAGTTAACAAATGTAGTTAAGTTTTTAACGTAGTAAGCTAAGAAAATTGAAGGCTTTATTGTGCCGTAGAATCTGATTAATTCTCTTAATTCAGTCAATTATAATAATTAAAAATTTTTATAAAATTTTGCTGAGTTAAAAAATTTATATTGTGTCATGGTGAAATTCAAATTTTTTTTACTAACAAATCTATCAATATATTGTGGTATGAATTAGGTATAAATCATAGAGAACAGTTGGTATAAAACCAGTTCGGAACAAAGCCAGCTTAAATTTAAAATCTGTCTTTTCTTAATTTATATAAAAACTAAAATGTTTTTTCTATAAAAATAGCTTTAAAGCTTTTTTATCCCTTTTAAAATAAAAAAAAATCATGGTTTTTGTATAATTTTTAAAAATGCATTGAGCAAGCATTTAAAGGTACCGTTTGATTCAATACTTTTAACTTATGATGAAACCGTTGTAGCTTATAATGAGAAAGGATCTTTGTGCAATGTCTCTATTTTTTATGTTTTCTTCTAACAAACGAAATATGGTAAAATGTGTAAATTGAATTTGATAAAAATTATTTTTTTTTTTGTTCTTTAAAAAAAAAGCTCAAATTAACTCTGAAGTGTTGTGGTTTGTGTAAAACTTTTAAATATGTTTTGTTCAAGCTATACATCAGCCGTTTCATTCAATACTCTTAAAATAAAATTAGCTTTTCTTCTTAAAGCCATAAAAAATTAAAATAAATTTTAACATTTTAAATTAGCCTTTCATAACAAAACTATTTTAAGACACTATATCCATATTTTATAATGAATGAAGATATTACCGCTAATCATTACAATGTGTCTATTAATAATAATAGTATATAAAAACACTTTTACAAGTAAAAGCTTTATATAGATATAAAATATTAAGTAAGGGCAAAATATATGTATACATTGAATAAAAATCAAATGTTTTTTTAATAACAATTTTTTTTTAAACCGTTGTAACCGATAATGAAAAAGGATCGTTGGGCAAGGTCTTTCTTTTCAATATTTTCTTCTAATAGAGAAAATGTGGTAAAATATTTAAAATGAAATATATAAAAATGGATTTGATAAGAATCAATGAAATCAAAGAAAATATTGAGCAATAGCAACTGTAAAAATTTTTTAAAAAGAAGCGAAAAACATTATTATTGTACAGAGAATGTGTTCAAAATGAAACTATAGCATTTTCATGACACAAAACCAGTTTTTTTGTCTGAATTCTCACCCTTCTTCTTTTTTCTATACATATCCTATATGTTATGTTATCGAGTTAGCATTTCTATCCTCTTTCACACAGGCACATTTTAAAATCGCTTAGAACTTAACTTGCTTATAAATTCACAAATTATTGAAGAAATTCTGCAAAATTTTAAAAATAGAAAAAATATTTTCCCCCAAATATATTTAACTTATACAATAACATCACCATTCATGCGTTTATCAAAGACTTGTACAAAAGAATTTTTTGAAACATTACATTTTTAATCTATTTTATCTATTTTGTATTTTTTTAGTTATATACATACAGGTAGGTGAAAAATTAAAATATAATAATTAATCTTTGTTTGACACCTGAATTATTGAATATTAATCAGAGCATTTTGAATCAGATTTATTAACAGTTTAAGTACCAAACAAAACAATGTCTAGGGCAAAACTTTGTACCTTATAAATTGTAAAAATGATTCTTAACTTAGGCTTTCCAGCGCATTAAAAATAAACCATTGTAGATTAAGATGAAAAATCGATATAACTGAAAATAAATTTGAAAAATATAAATAGTGCTTTACTGTGTTTGAAATGAATCAATGTAATCTAAATTGTTGTGTAAAGATGAAATTATATGTGAGTACACAAAATATAAATTTCTTATATTACTCAAATAGTTACATTTTGTAACCCGTTATTATAAGTTTTTTGAACATTTTCGTAGAATTTCAATATGGTTTTCTAATGTATTTATAATTTATTTTAAAATAAGGTTTTTTCGTGTAGTTAGTTATTTTCTTAGATTAATATGCAATTCTATTTGCTTGCATTATTTAAAATGATCATAAATGAATGAATGATGAAATAATTTAAAATAATTTTTAATAAATGATTCATTCATTGCATTTATTTAAAATAATCAGTCATGACTGATAAAATTAATAAAAATAAATAAAAATTTAACTAAGCTCTTAAACCCTACCGTCTACAAGTAGTGTATCATTAATTCGAAAAATCAATCATCTGGTAAATATATGACTCTGAAAACTTAAGACTTCTTTTAGATAATCTCATCCTTTAATGTTAGATTTATTTATCGTCTTTTCAGTTAATTATTTCATCATTACAAGCCATGTTTTTTATCAAAAGTTTATTATTTATCAAAAATTAATAATCATATGCAAAGACATTCAAATAACTTGATCCACCATTGGTTAGTTGAGCTAATTATTTTATTATTACGGGTAATTAGTTTCTAATTCAAAGTTAATCATCACATTAAAAAATTAGATCCCTAAAATTTGTGCCTCCTCTGAGTTATCAATTCTTTTAATAACTTAATCAATTCTTTTAATAACTTAATCAATTCTTTTAATAACTTAATTCTTTTAATTAACTGTATAACAGTATAGTATTAATACTTCAAAATTAATATTAATATTGGAAAAATAATAATAAATTGTCTACGAATAAGACGCAACAAACATGTACTTCGATTAATATCAATTAATCGTATATATCGATCAATTAATCTTGAGATTCATTTATAAGGAATTCAGCTTATTGTTTTAATACTACAGGTAGTGAGCTATTGTATTCGAAATCAATCATTAGACGTTGAATACCTTGAAAAATCGATCCATCCAATTTGAATTCTAAAACATGCACTTCTTTTGTTAAGAAAAAAAAACATGTACTTTTTTGGTTAAATACCAATTAATTAAATCCGAGATTCCTTCATGGTAAGTTCAACTAATTATTTTAGTATTATGAATAATGTGACATAGGTTTAAAATTAATCATCATATGTTAGAATTAGACGTGTTTAGATGTCTGAAAAATTAATTCAATATGAATTTTTTTCATTGTTATAAATATTATATTATTCAGTCAAAACTAATTGTAATAATTATTTTAAAAAATCATAACACTGCTTTGAATAGGAGACGAAAAAAAATTTGACTTCTTCTGTTATTTATCGATTAAAGATGATTTTGATAAATTTTAATGAAGATTTATTGATTAACATTTATTGTTAGTTTTTCTAAACATTCAAATAATATATCAGATATAATCATCATATGCTTAGAATAAGGCGCGTAAAATAAGGGCATAACATAATCGATTCATTAAATTTATTCATTTCATGCATGGAATTATATCCGATGCTTTTATAAAGAACAACCTTCCTCTAATTATTTCATTCATTTCAGGATACATGTTATTAATATTAAATATTCAAATATTTGGAATAAGACTTAAAAAGAAGACTTTCTCTGATGTCATTAAGAAAATTGTATAAAAATCTGTAATGCTAGAGATTAATTTAAAAAGAATCTTAGATTTAAAAAGTTAAAACATTTTCAACATTCATCACTGCAAATAAATTGTAAATAAGAAAAAAACATAAATTAACACGTAATTAAAGTCTTTTATATTATCAGGTATTGTCCAAGTAAAAATTACAGAGACTAATCAAATCGATTGTTACAACGATTGGCATCCGACTTGGCGAGATTTTCGTTTTCTCTGACAGATGAACCTGCTTTATGAATTTGCACATTTTTGAAGTTAATTTTACCAAAGTAGCTCCATCTATCGGAGAAGTATATAACTTGTGAGAAAGTCGAGTCGGCTGCTTCACAAATACAGTCTCTGGTGTGACATAATGCATTTGTAGACTTGTAAAATATTGTTGTTGAATAGTGAAAGTTTTTGTGAATATTATATTTTCTGCTGTAGCTCTTAAAATTTTCATTTCATGAGATAAATATTTGAGTAAAGACTGGTGAATATTCATTTGTAAATATAAAAATTTGAAGTTTCAACACTTTGCTAATGCAAAACTAGTGTGAAATTGTCACTTATTTCATCGATTTAATTTATTATTTTTGTTATATAAATAAAATTTGCAAATTTTGTTGTAAAATATTTTTTTTGTGTTTTGTCTTATTCTTTCAATTACATACATGCAAGGGTATTATGCTCAACTCTGTGCGCAGTGTTTATTTTATTTTACGAGCATCAATGTGCAGCTTATGCACATATCGGTTTGGCGGTAATAAACATTCATTCGTGTTGTCTCATAATTCTGAACTCTTCTAAAAGGACAAGAGAACTTCTAATGTACAAACAATTTTTAAAGACTTTTTTAATTAAACTAAACTGCATATGCTTTTCACGGGGAAGAAAACAGCGAAAACCTCGACGAAAGCTTTATGTGGCATTGCGTAATGGCTGACGATGTCTTCGCACAACAAAATGAATTTTTCTCATTTTAAAAGATTTTTATAAGGATTAAGATATTAGAAAATATTGCAGTGATAATATTGCATTTATTATACGGAATTGTTGTTATTCTTAAATCGAAAGTCCACCCATAACAAGTCCATGATAAGGATTGTGACATAAGAGAAAATTCAGCATTTACATAACTTTTTGTGTCATAACTTTTTGTGTCACTTTAGTGTCATAACTTTTTTCCTCACGGTTGGAAAAAAAAATATGAATAAACGTAACTTTATTGCTCAAAAAAAAAAAAAAATTTAAGTTCATTTATTAATTCAGAAATTAATAAAACTGTACTCAACTGTGATTAATTTCAGTATAAAAATCATTGTACTATAGGTTAGCTTTATAAAAAGAGTTGTAGTATATATGAACAATATATCTTCTTTCGCTTGAAGTAAGGTTCGATACTGTTTAAGGTGATTTAAAAAAAATTGCCATTCCAGGTGCAGATGGTGAAAAGGGTTGTTATTTTTACCCGTTTTAGGTGTTGGGTTTCGAGATAACCATAATTGTCATAAAAACTAGCTTCCTTCTCTTTAAAAAAAGTTTTAGTAAGTTGACAATCAAAGAAAATAGCATTCTTTTCATTCTGTAAATCATTTTTTTACGAAACACGTATTTACCTCAACTGGCTTGTTTAGTTATTGTTATTAATCGATGGTTATTATTATAACAATATCAAATTGAAATATACTACTAAGAACATCGATGTAGGGAATACCGGGTAAGGGCACTTAACCTTCAATAAAACATCAGTGTAAAGTTTTGTAATATTATTAAAAATAACCTTAAAACTAATTACCAGCACTCCAGAGATGCTTCCGTAAGTCGATCAACGAAATATGTATATGTTTATGAACAGATAGTTTCTTTCTTTCTTTCTTTTTTTTTTTTTTTTAAATCTTTTTTAGTCTTATTTTCTCAACTTTTATCGTCCCGCAGTGGACTGGTCGTAAAAACACGGTTACCAGTAGAACACCGAAGTCAAGCATCACTGGCTGCGGACAGTAAGAGGGTGGGTGACCGCTTTGATCTGCATGCGTAAGGACCAATGGTAAGCGGTATAGTTCCTCGTTAAACTATATTTCGGGCACAGGTCTTCGGGCTACCAAAGCAGGGAAGTCATCCCCTCTGCAGAGGATCAAAATTGCGATGGCATATCTTCGGATCATCCTCAGAGAAGTTTCCCAAACCGTCGCCAATAGCCCATTGTGCAGCTGTAGGTCAGCGTAAATTAAGTACCTACCTCAACTTTAGTCTGAAAGATATCAATTCGCACTTTCACTAAAAGGACTTAAGATACCTCAACCTTTTTTGACCTATTCAAATATGTACATATACTCCACCTTCGACGACACTACAACAATAATTATACACAAAAATAAACATTTTATTACCCTTGATTTAAATTGAATAACAAACCTTTTTATTACGCTTTTTTTTTCTCGCGACCTATTTTTTTTACACAATTACAGACCCGCCAATCTTTTTCTCAAACTGTTTTGAAAAATTTAAAGGGGTCGCACATTTTCTGATTTAACCTAGATATTAAAATTAATAAAATCATGACTGTCATGAATTTTAAACTCTATACTGTTTCTAAGAAAACTTGATAAGTTGTGAGGCTTTTAAGTGCAATTTAAGGACTAAGCATATTTGCTTACCTAATTTTAATTTCACCACTATAGAGGTATGGAGAGCTAGAATTTCCCAATTGACGTTACGTTAATTATATTGAGAAGAAACGTTAACCAAAAATTCTTCGTTATTTACACTGAGAAGAAAGTTATGATTCAACGAGCTTTAGATCTATGATAATTAGAATATATGCCTAGCTATTGAGTTATATTCTGACTGTTATATGCTGATATTGATTGTTTTATATGCCATCTAGTTGTAAGTTCAGTCGGACTTACAACTCGGATGACAACTCTACGTTAATTATATTAAGAAGAAAATTTTGATTCCAGGAGCCTTATATTTATGATAGTTATAATGTATGTCCAGCTATTAACATTCATTCTGATTGTTATTTACTGATATTGATTGTTACATGTCAGTTTGTTGTAAGTCCAGGTAGACTTACTGCTAGCTGTAGCTTTTTTTTTTCTAATTTTTTTTCTTCTTAAACAGCGCATTTTTCAATTAATTTCATCATAAATTCGAAGCAAAGTGGAAGAAAAAAGTTTTGCCGACCTAGAGCATATGTCCCATTTGGTAAAAATAGAGCCAAAATAAATTACATAGAATGACATCCTAGCATGACTGCTCTAGGCAAAAGTAATGTTTAATTTTTTTTTGAATTATGACTTAATCGAACCACAATAAACTAAATTCAACTTATTTGAATTGAAAGATGCATTGTTTTAATTATTAATTTTGAAAACAGTAAATGCTGTCAAAACTGTCACTTTTTATAACTATATGCTCACCATTAAAAAGTGAAACACCTCTGGCATAAATCTTTTGAATCGAAAGTTGCTAAAATTAATTATAGTAGCTAAGCTAAAATATTAATAATCAAAAATTTAAATTATATTTTGTGGCAATAATAGTTTTGTTATTATACAAACTATAATACCATCTTTAATTTTCTTGATGAAA